CAGCAGCAGCAGCAGCTGCTGCTGCTGCTGCTTGTTGTCATTCGGTGCTTCCGGGGAAACGGGGGCATGGGTGGCTCTGATGAAGCGGGCGAGCTGCAGCAACAGCAGCAGCAGCAGCAACAGCAGCAGCAACAGGAGCGAAGCAGCAGCAGCAGCAGCAGCTTCTGCTGCTACCGCAGCTGCCAAGGGGAAGTGCGAAGCATTATTGGAAGGCTACGGTGATGATGGCAGCAGCAGCAGATGAATAAATAAAATAATAAAAGGATAAATTGAAAACGAAATCAAATGCAAAACTAAACAAATAAAAATGAAAATGAAAATGCATTAAAAGCAAAGTGCTGCGCATTTTCGGGGGTCTGACAGCGCGTGGGCTGTCCATATTTGACCTTTCCTTGCTGCTGCTGCTGCTGCTGCTGCAACAGCAAGAACAGCAGCAACAGTAGTGAGGCCTGCAGCAGTAACTGCAGCTGCAGTTGCAGCAGCAGCAGTAGTACTAGCTGCTGCCACAGCAGCAGGTATTACTACTACTGCAGCAGCAGTAATAGCAGCAGCAGCCGCTGCTGCTGCTGCTGCTGCTGGCGCCAGGGCGCTGGGGTGTACGTACAGTGTGGGGGGAACGAAAGGCTGTGCTGCTGCAGAAGCAAAATGGCGAAATATTATTATTATTATTATATTGTTATTATTATAGTTTTGTGAATATTTATTATTGAAATGTATTTAAATTAATGCATGAAAGTGCTGCTTATTTTGTTTTGGGGCCCCGCGGTGAGGGGCCCTCGGGTGTACAGACAGCTCCTGGGGTGTATAGGGAGGTGCGTGGAACGCAGATGAGTGAAATGAGTTTTGTTTCATTTATGTCTTTTATCTTTTTTATACTTATATAAGCTTTATTGCATAAATAGATTCAAATATATATTAAGTGGAAATGTCCGTGAATATATATATATATGTGTATATATATATATATATATATATATATATATATATATATATATATATATATATATATATGTTTGCATGCATCCAGGTGTACGTACACTGTACGTTTACACAGGCAGCTGCAGGGTGTATAAAGGACATACATAAAAGCACTTAATAGCAGATATATATGATGCATTATATGTAATGCATAATAATATATATTTATTATATATGTTTATGTGCATATACATATAAATGTACAAATATATCTGTATGTATATTCGTTCATATATTATATAAAATGTTTATATCATCATGTATATATATATATACATGATGATATGAACATGTATATAGAGTCCATATATATATATATGGACTCTATATATATATATATATATATATATATATATATATAGGGTCCATATATATATGTGTATATATAAACTATAATATATAAGTATAACCTATAATGCCGTATGCGTACATAAAACACGACAATGAAAGTAAGCGAATATAAATGAATAAATAATAAATAAATAAACAAATAAATAAATGCAAACAAAGAAGAACTCGTCCGCATGCGCATAATGCCCAGGGTGCTGGAGTGTACGTACACCCGCGGGTAAAGGGCCTTTGGCGGAAAGTTTGGAATCAGTTTGAAGCATTAAATGAATAAAATAAATCCGAAATAATGCATATTCAGGAAGAGCATTTTATTTTGCATTGAGTGGCGCAAATTCCCCGAAATTTCACTAATGGAACTCCGAAAAAATCCAAAAGGATATTGCCAAGGAATCCTTTCATGGCTGCTGGCAGGCCTTTCTTTCTGTGCACAAGAGCAGCACTTCAGGACCAAAAGTAATTCTTTTTCCCCCTTTTAGTTTAATAATAATAATAATTATTATTATAGATGATGATAAACATTTAAATTCATTTCACGCCTCTTCCGTGGGGCGGGCTCTTCCTGGGTGGCTGAGTGGGGTGGACACCTCTTCACGCGGTGTACGTACACCTCATTATGTTGCGCGTTTATATTCACTTTCGACGTTTTAACTTCTGCAGCTTAAAAAGTACCCATATATATATTATATATATGATAATTATGTGTTTAAATAATCCATTATAGATGTATATTATATATAAATAAAATATATATATAATACATATAGACATTATTTGTAGTACATATACGTTATGTATTGATGTACTGCATGTACATATATTAAATGTTATATATGTTATATGTATATATATATAATATATACATACACATATATGTTATATATATATTATATGTTATATATATATATTATATAATACATGTACATATATATATATTATATATGTCTATAGTGTGTAGTGGAAGTGGAAGTGCCTTAATGGCCATTTGCGGTAAACGCAATCGAAGAAAAGTGGAAAGGGGAAAAATGAAAAAGATAAAAAGAAAAATGGAAAAGAATAAAAATGGGAGAGAAGGGAAAAAATGTTTCCTTTTTTTCTTTTTCAATTCTAAGAAGGGCCGCATACCCTTAGGAGGCGGGCAGCAGCATTTGTCTTTTTATTCTTTGACAAAAAAACGGGAAAAAAAAACAAAAAATGAATTAAAATAAATAAAAAAATGAAGATAATTCAGAAGAAAATAGACTATAGGCGACCCGTATAGCTCGCGGCTGTCGATACACCTGAAAAGATACATGGGTTTTGCTGCTGCCTTCAAATTCACACTTCTATTTATTAATCTTTATAATATACATATATATGTATGTTATATATATATATATGTGTATTTTATTGTGTTTTCGTAGATACATCTAATGTACTAATAGATGGATGTACTATATGCATATAGTGAGTGTACAGACAGCAGAAAATAGTACAGGCAAACTGTTTAGGCCTCCAGGTGTATCTACAGCAGAGAGGCTGGCCTCGGCCGGGGCCGAGAGGGACAGAAAAAGAGAATTAAGGGTGGCGCTATTAAAAACAATAAAATTAATAATAAAATGTAAGAAGCATTCAAGTGTGGGCTTTTAAAAACAATAGAATTGGTAATTCTTTCTTCTTTTGTTTCGACGAGAAACCCGCACTGGTCGGGGTGTACAGACACCTGGGAGGAACGCACAGCTATAAAAAAGCCTCTGCCGCTGCCATTTAATTCGCTTTTCCCTTTTAAATTTATTTATTTCATTTATTTTTTATTTCTTTTGTTATTTTTGGCATTTCTTCGCCGCTTTAACTTTTCATGCCGCTGCCTTGCTGCCCCAGGCTGCCGGGTGTACGTACACCCGAATGAACACAAAATTACATAAATGCAAATTTGAGAAAATAAATTAAAAGGGAAAGAATAAACTGCGGACAGCAACTACACACAGATGTAAATAAATGGTAAATACATGAAAAATAAAATAATAAATGAAGTAAATGAAGTTCAAAAAAGACAAAGTCCTCTCGGCCTTGCGGAGGCCTCTCTTTGACTTCTTTTTCGTGCGAGCAGAAAGTGGAAATTATTTTTAATTATTTCTTTTTCAGATGAAATGCGCATCTGAGAATAAATGGTATTTAAACATTATTTAATTATTTATTTTACTTATTTGTTTATATTTCCTCGAAGACAAAACAAATTGTCTAAATGAACATTTAATTTCCGGAAATTCACAGAACGTGCAGACACTCTAGAGCACTTAAATCAAAATAAATGGTTTTCAATAATTTCACTTTTTGAATTAAAGGCAAATTAATAATTAAATCCTTTTCCATTCCCGCTGCATGCGCGGCCACAAAGAAAAGCAGAAAGACAAAGGCAGCAGCAGCAGTAGCTGCTGCAGCTGCTGCTGCTTCTGCTGCTGCAGCTGCTGCTGTGGCTGCACCTGCTGCTGCTGCAGTTGCTGCTGCTGCTGAAGCAGCAGCAGCAGCGCCAAACAAAGAACAAAAAAACGGAAAAGAAGAGGACCAAAAAAGGGTCCCTGAAGGGGCAGCAGAAGAATTAAAAAACGAAGAAATTGCAAACCCTAGAAATAAATTAAAAAATAAAAAACGAAAAAAAACTTCATTATTTTATTTGTTTTCTTTTCCCAACCCCCAACTGCCCGCAGCAGCAGCAGCAGCAACTTGGGCAATTCTCTTCTTCACAAATTCACAAGAAATAAAAAGAGGAAATAAACTCAAACGCAGCCAGCTCCAGATGCCTGCAGCAACCACACAACCTAGGGTTTAGGGTTTAGCGTTTAGGGTTTCGTGCCTAGGGTTTAGGGTTTAGCCCCTGGGGTTTGGGGTTTCGCGCTTAGGGTTCAGGGTTTAGTCCCTAGGGTTAAGGTAAACTAAATTAAACTAAACAATTAATTTAATTTAATTTAATTTAATCAAATTAATTGAATTAATTAAATTAAAGTAATTAAAATGAAAAGATTAAAAAGTACTTTGGTTCTTTTCGCTCGCCTCCCTCTCTGCAGAAAAAGTTCGAATGAAATGAATCACTTCATCTGCTGTAAACCCTAAAAACAAATAAACAAATAAATAAACAAACAAATAAATAAATAAATAAGTAAATAAATAAAATGAATTAATAATTAGATATAATTGAATAATTAATTGTAGTTATGAAAATAATAAAATTGGAAGCAGCTAGTGCGAAATCAGCAAGTAGTGCTGTTTTAGAGAGAGCAGCAGCAGCAGCAGCTGCTGCTGCTGCTGCTGCTGCTGTCGCAGTGCAAAAAACAGCAGCAGCGGAAGCAGCAGAAGCTGCGGCAGCAACAGCTGCAGCCGTCCACAACATAACGGCAGCAAAAAGCCGCGGCAGAAACAGCAGCAGCTGTTGCTGCTGCATCAGGAATACCAGCAGCAACAAAACCCCCAGCAACAGCAGCAGCAGCAGCAGCAGCAATTGCTGCTAGGGTTTACCTAGGGGCTTTTGAAGTTGCACTTGGGAGAGAGTCTGTTGTGGTAGAGTTTCTGGCTTTGCCGCGCAGCTGTGGCAATTGAATTCATGGACTTCATTTGATTCATTTGTTTCATTTATTTCATTTAAATTGTTTATTTTACTTATTTTATTTATTTCGTTTGCAAAATAATCCGCAGCAAATCCCTCCAGCAGCCTCCGCGTTTCGCCGTAGCAAAGAGCGCCGTCGAGGCGGTGCAGCGAATGCAGCAGTTCCAGCTGCAAAAAGAAAGGAGAAAACGCGAAGAGAGAGAAAAAAGGATTTCCACATCAAATACTTCAACAAAAAGGATCCTCATAAGCGGAAACGGGATAAAAATGAGCCAAAAATGATTTAAAATGACCAAAAACATGCCGGGGGGCGAAAGTTGAACAGCGCTGAGGTGTCTGTACACCTCAGCTTCCACTGCGCGAGAATAAAACTTTTCGCCATTTTCTCTTCTTCTGCCGCTTTTTCATTTTAAATTATTTAAAATGAATTTATTTATTTAATTTCCACAAATAAACTCTTATTGCCATTTTATTGATCCCAATTTCCCGCCTTTTCCACTTTTTCTGCGAACCTCAACTCCACTGCAACTTTCTTCGCTCCGCAGCTCATTTGCAAGCTTTAAATGCCATTTAAAGAGAAATAAAACCATTATATTATTATTATTATCATTATTACTATTATTATTGTTATGATTATTATTATTGAATTATTATTTGTCTTTGTTTTCTTTTGGGACTTTTCTCACGCAAGCCTCGGACTGCTGCTGCTGCGCTGCAGCAATTCGCGCCTCCGCCTGCCGCAGGAGTTCCATTTCCTTCATTGCTGCGCATTGCGCTGAATTTAAAAATGAAAAAAGGATTTAAAATTAAAAAATAAATCCAAAAAAGGGGAAATTGGAGATTAAATGAAATGCAAACAAAAGCGAGAATCACAGGAATAGAAAATGCACAAAAAATGAACCATTAAAGTCAAAAAATTATTTAATTTAAACAACTTTATGATGAAATATAATTAAAAGAGAAATGAAATAATGCAGAAATAAATTAAAATAAATTAAATGAGGAAAGACGAAAGTTGAGAAAAAGAGTTGCAAATGAATTAAAACAAAAAGGGACCTTTTAATTCCTTTTTCTTTATTCAAATAAAAAAGAATTAAACTTTTTGCCCTTTCATTTTTAATTTTTTTCATTTAAATAAAAAATTATAATTTTTTACTTTTTATTTATTTTCTTTTTTCATTTTATCTCTTCTTTCCCTTCAACTCACTTCCAATGCTCAGCAGCCACGCCTCCGCTTCATTCTGCGACTGGGCCTGAAAACCCCAAACCCTACACCCTAAACCCTAAACCCTAAACTCCAAACCCTAGACGCCAAACCCTAAGCCCTCCTGCGCTCTGCAACGCCATGTAGAGAACAGTGAGTCCAAATCGATGGAGCTGCGAAGCAGTACGGCTAAGCTCCTAGGGTTTAGGGTTTAGGGTTTAGGGTTTAGGGTTTAGGGTTTGTACGCCTACGCGCCAGTAGTAAGAGCGACTGTCTGTCTGTACAAGAAAGCCTCTTTTGTCTTGTGGAATCTTCAGGATCTAGAATTTCAAAAGAACAAAAATAAATTAATTTAATTTAATTAATTTAATAGTTTTGATTAATTTAATCAATTAAACCAATTTAATTAATTAATTTCATTAAATTAATTTAAATAAAAGAGAAATAAAAGAAATTAAAAGTTTGAAAAGAAAAGACGAAAATATATTTATATATACTTTAAGCCCAGGACCTTACGTAAGAAGAAATGAATCAACAGATGAATAAAAGCAATTTAAATAAATTAAATTATTTAATTCAATTAATTAAAACGAACAATTGAATCAAATTAAATAAATAAATAAATAAATAAATAAAAATAAACAAAAATAAATAAAAATAAATAAATAAATAAATCTCACCTGCACACAAGAAGACAGCGGAATGCAAGCCCACTGCTGCGGCCGCTGGGGAGCCCCCTGAAGAAAATAAAAAATAAAAATAAATAAATAAATATATAAATAAATAAATAAATATAAATAAATATAAGTAAATAAATAAATATAAATAAATAAATAGATTAACAAATTAATTAATTAATTAATTAAGCAATAGTAAATATAAATAACTAGTCAGTAATAAACAAACAAATACGCAAATAAACAAATAAATCAATGGGTAAATAAATAAATAGTAGTTAATACATGAATAGATAAAGAAATAAATAAACAAAAATATATAAACGAATAGATAAATAAATAAATAATAGTTAATAAATAAATAAATATTAAATAAATGAATAAATAAATAAATGAATAAATAATAGTTAATAAATAAAATAACAAACAAACAAATATATACATAAATAAATATTAAATCTAATGAATCGGCAGAAAAGGCTGAAAGACAAAAAGAGAAAATAAAAATAAAAAGAAATACAATTAAACTCAAAAGAGAATGAGAAACAAAATCAAAGTAATTTATTTTAAATTAAAGATTTCTTTTCAAAAGAAAAGAAACAAATAAAATAAATAAAAGAAATAAACAAAATTGAATTAAATTAAATTAAGCAATTGGAGTATATTAAACAACAAAAGAATGGAGAAACAAAAACTAAAAACTAAATTAGAAAACAATAAAAACGAAAACTTGAATCAAATTAAAAATTCATTTTTGAAACTTGGAGAATAAAAAAAAAGAAAATGAAATAACGAAACTGCACGGGCCGAGGAGCTGCATGCAGCGGAGAAGAGAAATGGAAAAAGTAATTAAAGAATAAAAAGTTAAATTAAAAAACAAAAAAATAAAATTTATTTTTATTTTTTTTATTTTTAATCCCACTTTTGCTGCTTCTTTTGAATACCAAAACGCCTCGGGGTGAAGAGCGCACCGACGCAAATTCCAACTTGAAGCATCCTGAAATAAACCATTCATTTATTTTTATTATTTATTATTTATTATTTATTTATTTATTTATTTTATTTATTTATTATTTATTATTTATTTATTTATTTACTTATTTTATTTATTTATTTATTTATTTGTTTGTTTGTTTGATTTTTTGTTTAGTTATTCTTTTTTTCCGGTTATTTTGTGCGTGTGATGCTTCGCTTTTTATTCTATTTTTATTCTTTATTTATTTATTGATTTGTTTATTTACAATATGCTATTTAGTATATATGACTTATTAGCTATTTATTTATTATTTATTTATTCATTTTCCGTTTTGAATTAATGCAAATAAAACAAATCAAGTTGACTAATTGAATTTCTGTCTTTGGGGCTTTTGGCAATAGTGGTGCATGCAAAACAAAAACAAGAAATAAAAAAATAAGTAATTAAAAAAGAAACTAAATAAAACAAAAATAAAAAGAAATAAAGAGATATAAAAGGACTCTAAAAAGAAAATTGAAAAGATAATTAAAGGATAATCAAAAGGATAGCTAAAAAGATATTAGAATTAAACAAAAAGAAATAATAAAAGTCTTCCATTATTTAATCTTGAGCAGAAGTTTTACATTTATTTCATTTTAAGTAAGTTTTGTATTTACTTTATTTTAAATAAAATGAATGGAGCTTTTTTGTTTTATTTTAAATAAAATAAAAGTTTTTAATTTATTTTATTTCAAATTCTTTTTTAAAATGCCAGTCTTGCCTTCGACGCCTTTTCTAAAACTCCCGACCGCAGGGCCTGTAAAAATAAATAAAATAAAATAAAATAAATAAATAAATAGATAAATAATTAAATTAAATAATAAATAAATAAATAAATAAATAGTCTAAATCGTCAATTAATTTACTTAGCTGTTTGGATTAATTAAATAATTAATTAACTCGAAGCATTTAAATAAGTTGAAAATGAGAAACAGGAAATCGAGAAAACAAATAAATAAAAGAGAACTTAACTGAATAAATAAATACAATAAATAAAATAAATCAATTAATTAATTTGATTAAATAAGTAAAATAAATAAATAAACAAATGAGTAAAATAAATGAAATAAATAAATAAAATAGATAAATAGATTAGGTAAACAAAGTAAATAGAGCAACAACAAATAAAAAACAAAAACCGCTCAAGAAAAAAATAAAAATGTCAACAGCAAACAAGAAATGGAAAAAAATAAAAATTAAAAAGTTAAAAGAGATGAAAAATAGAAGTTGTTTCCAATTTTATTTTTGTTTTCTTTTTATTTATTCTTTTTTGTTTCTAAGAACAAATTTATGAACTTCTTAATTCCAAATTCAAATTTGTTCAGTCGGAGATTCAAAACTAATTCAAATCTGCTATTTAAAAAGTTAAGCTAGAGTGTACATACACCTCAAATGGTCCACTTGTGGAACACAAATATATACATTGGGGTGTACATACACCTCAGATGAGACAAATGGTTTACTTGCAGCGTGTAAGTATTTAAACTGGAGTGTACGTACACCTCAAATGGTCTATTTGCAGCACGTAAATACGCCAGTTGGAGTGTACATACACCTCAAATTGTCGAGTTGCAGCGCATAAATAAATGCACTGGAGTGTACGTACACCTCAAATGAAACAAACGGTCCAAAAAAAGTCCTCACCCCAGTGTCCATACAGACCGGCGTGGGCATTTCGTCTTCTGCATTTTCTCGGTCAAGAAAAGCAGAAAGGGAATTTAGGGGCGCTCCGAATGAACTGATGTCCATAATGGGTTTTAAAAACAAAAAAAATGAACAAAAGAATTAAAATAAACCCCTAATGCCTTTTATTCGGCGTCTGTGGCCTCCAGGGCGAGTCCTTCGGAACATGAATATCCGGGGTGTACATTCACCTCAGCGCATGCCGCCGCCGCCTCATTCCTTCACTCTTCTTGCGCGTTATTCATTTATTTGTCTTTGAATTATATTTAACTCTAAAACTGCATATTTAATTCTCCTTTTGAGGCGGCTTGGAGTCCTTTTCCGGGCAGTTTCCGTTTTGCCTTCCGCGGCGGCGGCTGCGCGGCGACCAGCTGTCGATACACCCGAAACCGCGGCTCAGTCTTCAACTCTTTCGGCCCCCAGACTTTCCAATCAAATAAATAAGTTTTAATTTTTGTAATTTTGTTTTAATTTCGCCAGAAAGCACTCGTGACACGGAGAAGACCCTGGTGGCTGTCCACCGCTGCGCTGCTGCGGCGAAGTGCACCAGAGCGGGTCAAAATTGGAGTTCTTAAACGAAATATTTGACTTATTTTCGCAAATTTGAATTTGTAATTTCAATTTTTTAATTTTTAATTCAATTTAATTCAATTTAACTCCTATCCCAAACTTAAAATCGGCCAGCGCCTCCACACAGCCAATCAGGGGCCCCTGGCTGCAGCCTGCTGCGCATGTGTCCTTCTGCAGCCACACAAAAGGCTCTTCACTTCAAATTCAAATTTAAATAATTTTATATTTTATCTTTCAAAGTTTTTATTTAATTCATTTACTCTTCTCATCCACACGCTTTTCTCAACTCTTGTTGTACATACACCCCAGCAGCCAACACCGCTGCGGTGTACATACGGGACCTACGAGGGGCCCGTTGGGGCCCCTGGGGGCCCCCCGGGGCTCCCCGGGGGCCGCTCCTATATATTAAAGAGGGGCTCCCAAAGGAGCTTTTTGCTAGCTGGGGGCCCCCAGGGATCTTCTGTACAAAAGGCCTTTTCAGAGAGTTTTTGAAGGTCCATCAGGGCACTTTTTATTCTTTAATATTTAAATTTTAAATAAATTAATTTTAAACAAATTAAATCGAGGCCAATTCGCCTCCTAGCAGCTTTGCTGCAGCACACTGCTTCTGCTGCACAACTGCAGCAGTAAAATAAAACGCATTGGGCCCCTGGAGGCCCCCCAAGGGGGCCTCAGGGGCCCCTGGGGGCTCCCAGGGGGCCCCCTTCTTGCGCGCCCCCATGGGGCCCCTGGAGGCCCCCAAGGGGCCCCCTAGGGTTTAAAAATTGGCCCCAATGGGCCCTTAGGGGCTCGCTAAGGAGCTCTTTACCCTATCCAAATCTGGGGGCCCCCAGGGGCCCCTCATGAAAACCTTATGAACTCCTCACACCCCAGGGAACCCAGGGGGCCCCTACGGGGGCCCCCTATGGGGGCCCCTGAGAAGACGCCCACGGGGGCCCCTAAGGGGGCCCCTGAGTGGGTCCCTACGGGGACACCCTGAGAGGGCCCCTGGGGCCCTTAGGGGGGCCCCCAGGCCCCTGAGGAGGCCCTTACGGGGGCCCCAAGGGGGGCCCCTGAGGGGAGCCCTAAGGGGGCCCCCAGGCCTATCGGGGTCTTCTTTGGGAGGTACATAAACGGGTTTTTCTTTTAAATTATATTTGAAGCACTTTTTGCTTCACGAGTCACTTACCAATCAACTTGCTGTTGTTGGTGCTGCCGTGCTGCTGCTGCTGCTGCTGCTGCTGCTGCTGTGCTGCTGCTGCTGGGCAGCTGCTGCTGCTTGGTGCAGGGAAATTTGCTGCAACCCCGTGAATGAGGGATTTGGAGTGTATGGGTCTTTTAAAAGGGGTTTTAATTCTTTTGAAAAGTTAATTAATTCTTCATCTTTTGCTCCATTAAAAGTGGAATTATAATAATTGTTTTTGTCCTTTTTGCTTCCCCCTTTGCTGCTTTTGCTGCTGCGCGCCTCCCCCACGGAGGCCTCTGCAATGAGCGCCTCCAGCGAGCTGCTGCTGCTGCTGCTGCTGCTGCTGCT